ATGATCAATCAGGTGGTAGATTTGGATGGTTGCTTGATTATGGAACCTGAGGAGATTCAAGCTTTGTTTGAAAACTTCTTCAGAAAGAAATGGATGAAAAGACATTGATCTTTCTCTAATTTTCCTACTTTCTCAATTGAAGGTGTGTTAAATGATGTTCAGAAGGCTCTGTTAATTGCAGGCTATATGAAATAGGAGCTTTTCTTGATGGTAATGAAAATGAATAATAATATAACACCCGACAATGATGGAGTGAATGCCTAGTTTTTCAAACACTTTTGGAATATTGTGAATGTTGAGTTGTGGAATGCAATCCTTAACTTCTTCAATATGGGTGTAATGCCTGATAATTGGAAGTATATGTTTGTCGTGATGATTCCTAAGACTCCAAATGCTTCTGAACTTAGCAAGTTTTGTCCTATTAGCTTATGTCAAACGCTTTACAATATGGTTGCTGGCATGATAATGAGTAGGTTGAATCGTTGTCTTCCTAAACTATCAAGGTGATTTTTGTTCCAGGAAGAATGATTTAAGACAACTGCCTTTTGGCCCATGAGTTGGTCAATAAGCTCATATTTTCTAAATCTGTACCTGGTTTTATGTTACTTAAGCTTGATATGGAACAAGCATATGATAGCATGTGTTGCAAGACTCTTTATAAGACCATGCATGAAGTTGGATTTCCTGATTTGTTCATAAATCTTATCAAGCAATGTATTAGTAACCCAAGATTTTCTATTATTATCAATGGGAAAAGAAGCGGATGGATTAATATAGAATGTGGTTTCAAACAAGGATGCCCATTAGCTCCTAGTCTTTTTAGTATATGTTCTAAACTTTTTTCAAAAGCTTTTTTGGAAAGAGGCAACGAACTTGGTGTTAAGTTGGCTCCTAACACACCTAAGGTAACATACTTTATATGCTGATGATGTTTTGAATGCATCCAAAGCTTCATGCAAAAATGCAAAGATCATTTCATCAATCCTCTGTGATTATGGCGGGTAGACATGACAGAGCATTAATAGAAGCAAATCAATTGTCATGTATGGCATATATGTAACTCAATATAAAAGGAAGAAATTGAATAAACTGTTTTGTTATAGAATGATGGAAGAATTTAACTATCTTGGCATAAAGATGGATCTCAAATGATTGGAGGCAATTGATTTTAACCATATTCTAGAAAAGGCTACAGACAGACTCAACACTTGGGCCTCATGCAACCTTTCCATGGCTGGGGTTGGTGTTAATAAATTCTATTTATTCTTCCATCCCTTTATTTAGCATGTCTCACTCTTTGATTCCTAAAAGTATTCTTAAGGAATTGGATAAGTATTGTAGGAGTTATTTGTGGCATAAACAGCAAGGTAAAAATGGTATGCATTATGTCTATTGGGACATGATGTGAACACTCGTAATGTAAGGTGGTCTTGGCATTCAAGGTGTAGCGAAGAGACAAGGTCCAGTAAGAGCACGCATTGCTTGGAATTTTGTTAATAGGAAAGATGTCCTTCTAAATAAATTCTTGTAAAGAAAATATGACAAGGATATTTGGGACTCTAAAGTTAAGCGATCATCTTCACCTATGTGTTAAATTATCATAGATGGTGCTCGTTTCTTGAAGCCAATTATCAGGTGGAAAGTATATAATGGAGAAAGAATCAATATCTTGAATGATAATTGGATACTTAATAACAGCTTGAATAGGTGGCCAGCTTTGTGTGACTTTGAGGAGAAAGAAAATAATTCTATTTTTATCTTGATCAATAGAGAAGGAAATTGGGATAAGGTGATGCTAAGTAAGCTATTTTGTGGAACATTTCCATTATATATGGTAAAAATTGGTTTCCCCCGCCTACAAGTTAGATCAAGTTGAATGTTGATGCGTCCTTAAAGCAAAACAGAGAAGCAAGTATAGGTAGAGTCTTAAGGGATCACAAAGTCAGATTCTTGATGGCATATGGAAGGAAATTTGTGCATTGTAATATCTCTATGTTAGAACTGATTTTGATTTTTAATTTCAAAGAGGTTATTAAAGATTGGATGACATTGCAAGGAATTGTGAATGAAGGTGATAACATTAATGTTATCAAATTGCTACAAAAGTCGCTTTGTTTGGAGAATTAGGGCAACAAGGTTCTCAACTTGATTTTTCTTTTCTTGATGTTTTTAGAAATTTAAAATTTCACAATGTTTCTAGATATAGCAATTGTGTGGTGGATGCTTGTGCCCACTTTGATCTTCTGGGTGATTTTATTTGGGAGGAATTTCTTTTCAATGAACTTTAATCAGACATTTCTGACTTGATTACGAAGGATTTTGATAGGGTAGCTATCACTTAGGTTCTTTGTATTTCTTTCATTTTTATGGTTTAATGCAATTTGCACATCCCAAAAAAAAAAAAAACTGATTAAATCCACATGGAAAGCTTCATAGGAAGCCTTTCTATTCAATCATAGGCATCCCCAAGCTCCTTTAATAGCTAAGTGGTGTGGGTGAATCAATCATAGGCATCCCTTGTTCAATACTACTCATAAACTCTCTCTTTATTCCTCTAATAAATTCCAAATGCTTCCCTTGAGATAAATCTTCATTTTCCCAACATTCCCTAGATATTTGGTGCTTTAGAGAGGTTTGTCAAGTGATCTCTACCGAGGTGTTTATGGTGAAAACTCCAATTTCAAATTACTTCTTCTCTATGATTGAGGTCTTCAGTGAAGTTTTTCCCTAAGTATAGCGGAGCACACTACGTCAATTCATAGGCTACAAGATCCATTACAATCATGTATACTTCCAAAATGAGATTAAATTTCTTAGTGTCTAGGACATTATAAGAAAAGCTTTTATCATATTGTCATCTAGTCATAAATGGAGTGTTTTCTTCATATAGATTATTATGAATCTTTTGCAAATGGATCTATAGTATGAACCTTTTGAATTTACGAAAAGAGTCTGATGGGAAATAATAAGTGTACATGTGATCTATGACACCAAGCCCTCCTTTTCCTTCTAAATTATTAGATAATTCTAATTTTAAAAGAAAATCCTAATATCATACAAATGAAATCAAGAAGTAGAGAGCTATAATCTATTTATTTGTTTGTAAAAAATTACATAGATTATTCTCAAAGTATTTGTAACACACCTTAAGATAATGAATTCTTAATTCACCATATTGAACTAATTAAACAATACTTTTGTACTTGACTTACCTCCTTGGGTAAAGAATTTACTTGTTATTATGTGTTTAGGATTTGTTAGTTTGATGAGATCATTAAACATTGAATCCATGAGAATATATTCTCGAAAACCTAAATTATATCATAAACATTAAATACTAAATAAGATTATAATAAAATAATTAATTTATTTCAACCTAAACTTAAAGAAAACCCTTTTAAACCTTCAACGAATAATTAAGCATCTAAAATAATAAAATTATAATGTTTAATAGAATAAAAAACTATACATCTTAGCACACATTATAAATTGTTTATTATGGTAACCTACATTAGATTTAGGATAGGATCATTGTTTAAATGAATTGCTTATTAAACTTTACTTTTTATGTTGTGAAGAATTTTTCTTTTTTGTTGGATGTGTGTTATGCTGTTTGTTGTGGTAGAGTGATTAATTTTATTATTTTTATGATGACTCTATGATCCTATAATGGTCATTTAGATTAGCCAAGGCTAGGAAAGATCATTATTTTTTTGCTAATCAAATCTTATGCAACAAGCCATACTTATGCATGGCATTAAAAAGGGGTAAAAAATATTAAATTATAAAACTAATCAAATTTTATGCAGGTGCTTATATGAATTTAGCCCCCTAATTATTAAAAGCATGGCCTATATACTAGGACTAAGTTGTGAGAAAATATCGTTGAAACATTATGTGTGATATATGCTCTTATTAATATACTTATTTTAAAAAAAACCATACATGGTAAGTATAGAGATTTTTTTATTTTAAAATGTAATTTAATAATAGTTATGAAATTCTATAAAAAATGAATTAGTTCTTCAAGGAGAAAGGAACCAAAAGTAAGGAAATATCTTACTATTATTGGGGAGATTTATTTCTTTGGAAACCTTTTTAAGGATGATCAGTACAGGAACATTTAAGACCAACAAATAAATCAATTTTTTGTAAAAAATACTTGCGTTATTAATAGGAATAAAAATTTATGTTATTGTTTGTGGAGCATGGATACCATTTTTTTCTTGAAGACCCCAATTTGTATTATGTGAAACTTGCCACACTGGACATTACATTTTTTTAATTCATTTATTCTATGGTGTGTTTACTTTTTGTGTTACATGTGCTATTTTCCAAGAATTATGCCTAGGAAGTTAGCGATAAAAATTATTCTACTCATTATTGAGTAATACAAATTAAGATTAAATAATATAGCAAGATAATTAGCCTGAAAAGTAAGCAAGGATTCGCCTGGGGTCTCATAATTTCATGGGGGTATATTTCGTAGACTCCCAAGCATGATGTTATCTACACAAGTTCACCTATCGATCAAGTAATAAAGTAGAAAAAGGATTGTCGATCTCATGAGAAAATTTGCATCCTATGCCCCAAATACACTATACTTTAAGTAACAAAGCTAATCCTACTGAATAAAGATGAAAGTTGGTGTTCTATAAACTACTATAGTTGTGAAAGAGATAATATGATCAATATTAAATATCTTATTAATTTATGATCATGAATGCTATCAGTGGCGGAGCCAGAAAGTTCATCAGGGGGGGGCCTAAACTATGTTATTAAAATTTTCCCTCAACTTTTTTATATCCAGGCTTGGGACCGGCATAGGCAGTTTTAAAATTTTTTTATTAATAATTATCCAAAAACATATAATATTAAATATAAGAGAGTAAACAACTTACAATTTATAACGTCGACTCTTCATATTCTGAAAGAGTTGAATGATTACTTCATTATCAATAGAATCCAAAATTTCTTTTTCAACATAAGCAATTAATAAATCATTCATCCATTGATCGCCAATCCTATTTCGCAGCCAATTTTTTATAATATTCATGGCAGAAAATGCTCTTTCAACGCCTGCTGTAGCAACGGGTAATACTAATGCAAATTCCAGTAGTTTAAAAACTACATGATATACTATATCCTTCCTGCATTGGATCATTTTTTCAGCAAGACTTCCAATATCTTTTAATGAGGTGAACTGATCATCAGATCGCATATCCATGATGTAAGTATCCAATTGATTTTCAATAACTGCCTGATCAAGAAGACTAAAATCAGCTGGATAAAATTGTGTCATTCGAATCAACTTGTCTTTGTTGAATGCATGAAATCTGTTATTAGGATTCAAACATGCCATGCACAAAAGCAGGTCGGTATTTACTTCTGTAAACCGATTGTTCAACTTCTGAAGCTGCATATCAAGCACCGTGTAAAAAATTTCAACCTGGAAATGATATAAATTTGTTATATCTTGAGCTCCGACCACGAGCAACCCATTTGTCATCCATATGTGGAACATTGATATGTTGTTGCTCACAAAATGCGATTACATTACTAATGAAGTCAGTCCACTTGTTATCTCTCATATCCTGGAGTCGTCTTTTACATATACGCACCAAAGACATAGCATTAACAATATCTTGTTCTCCTCTCTGTAAAGCTTTTGATAGTTCATTAGTAATACCAAGAACATCTTTCATGAGATGCAGGCAAAAGATAAACTCAAAGGTCTATAACGATTCTAATAAAGCATATGCCTCACCTTTTTGTTCTGAGCTCAAGCCTTCTTCCAAAATGATTTCTAGAACATCAATAACTATAGAGAACATTGTAATCAATCTTAAAATTGATTCATAGTGTGATCCCCATCGCGTATCACCAGCACGCCTGAGTGTTATTTCTTGATTTAAGCCTTGCCCAGATAAAAGATTTCCACTTTTTAACTCCTTTAATGTTTTCTCATGTTGTATTTCTCGAACTTGGTCGTGCCGCTTACAAGAATAAGCAACCAGATTCATTACACTTGAAATGATAGTAAACATCAAAGCAATGTGAACATGATTTTTTGCCACTGCCACCAATGCTAATTGAAGCTGATGTGAGAAGCAATGAATGTAATGTGCTGATTGATTTTCATTCAGAAATAGAGCTTTCAGACCATTAAACTCCCCTCTCATATTACTAGCACCATCATAGCCTTAACCACGTATTCTACATATGTTCAAACCATATGTTGATAGGAGTTGTTCAGTGGCAACTTTAAGACTATTTGCAGTAGTATCTGATACATGATAAATTCCCAAGAAACGTTCTACTATCAATCCTGTTTTATTAACAAAACGGACTACAATTTCCATTTGCTCCTTAGCATATGTGTCACGTGATTCATCAACTCAAACTGAGTAAAATTTATCACCAATCTCCTCAGATATGAAATTTGTAGTAGCAATAGCGAATGCTCTGGTAATATCTTTTTGAATATCAGGTGCAATTAACTTTAAATTGTCAGGAGCATTCTTTAAAACCACATCGTCTATATCTTTGTTATGTTCAGCCAAAAATTGTACCAGTTCAAGAAAATTACCTTGATTTTTAGATGTAGAAGACTCATCATGGCCTTGAAAAGCTAGCCCTTGCTTCAAAAGAAATCTTATGCAATCAACAGAGGTAGTGAGGCGAATATGATATGCAGATGTAGCTTGATATGTTTGCTTTTGGAACACAAACCCAATATGTTGACTCTGATTCAGTAGGTCTTCAGCACTATGTCTAGCATTATTATGCGCACTGTTCTGACCTCCTACATGAAGATCAAATTTATTTGTTTTTTTCCAATTCGAAAATCCATTTTTATTAAAGGCTTCTTCCTCTTCATTGCCTCTACCTGGTTTTCTGAACAGATAACTGCCCCCCCCCCCCTCCATCCGCCTTTGAATGCTATACTATTTTTCTTAATATACTCTTCTAAGATTTGTTACAAATTAAAGCATATACACCTAGATCACTATCAAGCTTGCAATATGTAAAGTAAGGCATTCACATTACTATAGTGATTTTATCTCTATAAACCATAGGAACCTATTCAACTTATGTTTAATTATGATAGTTTTATTTTTTAATCCACATAATTCTTCCATCATTCCTCCATCAAGGTAATAACCCACACTAGGTTTTAAATTCAAACATAGCCATTTAATGATTTAAATGAAGATGAGGATGAATTAAGCACAAAAGTAAAATATTTTATGTACTTAAGTTTACATAATGAGAAACATGCTTCATTCACATTATTAACCCAAAACAAAGGTATTAGGCATCCATAGAAATCATTTTACACAAAATAAATTTCATTATAGCAATCATAACAAGATATTAGAGTTAAAGTAGAGAGAATATAATCAATAATAAAGTTTATAATCACTTCCCATAGTATAAGCTTTCTGGATTGATATCCTTTAAGTTCATTCACTCCGCACTCTAAATCCTCACTCGCTTATTATTTTATTCAATAAGCAAATAACCAGCCCTAAATACTTCAAAAAGAAAATTATTTATACAGAGTATAGAACTAACTCAGGTGTCGTGGAACACAAATTGTTGGTACCATGACATTATAATAATGAACTAGCACTTTGGTACTCTAATCTTTTCTCTACCATGTCATTATGCTGAATCATTATAATTCATCACAGTGAACATATCTAACTCCTTTGCTACAATGTTGCAAGAAATTTAGCACCACGACACTACCATAGCACTATAGAATGGAACAAGGATGGGAATTTCTTAGCTTAGGTAGGAAAATTAGCACTGCGACGCTCTTATATTTACATAAGAGCATTAAATTATTTACAAAATTACATAAGATTGATCAAAATTATATTTTTGAAAGTGGAACTATAGGTATGTTGACACTGGAGTGCTGGAAGATTTGACTCTGCAAGAATAAATAAATTATAAAATTCCTAAATTCAGTTTGTCGTGGTGTTCTAGAGTGGCACATGGGTAATGTTGGTTTGGGTGTCGCGGTGCTAGCACAAACTTTAATATTTAGAACTTTTTTTTTGATATTTTCCAACACAACCTTAATTAAAATAAGCATTTGTATTAGAATTTATTTTTGAAATATTAAACTAATTTTCACTTAACATAAAGCATGCATTTTTAATTATTCTTCTCATTTTTAGATAGCTTCTCATCAGTGGGTAGAAGTAGATCACTTTACCAATTAGGGTGCAATTCTATCCAAGAACAATTCTTCTCTTTTAAAATGAAACATATTTAAAAACTAATTTTAAAACTATACATTTAAATTAGTTCATTGAGCCAATTAGTATGCATTGTATTAGAAATAAATTAAAAAAATAATAAATTATAATCACATTTATCTTTGGAAATATAACCAACTATTCATAATTTTAGGCTTTTTAGGATTTTTTAGATCTAGTCCCCATACTCTTAAATCGAAATAATAAAAACTCACATATCTTGTATTTCATTAGAATGTGTTCATGGTTTTAAAGAGATTAGGTGGTGTTTTAGTTGAGATTCACACCAAGGTGGAAGTATAAGTTCAGGATTATCTCACATTCCAAAACTTTCCTCAAGAGTTAAATATATAAATATCATTTCCTTAGTTTGTAAATTATTATATTATGTTTAAATCACTACTCTATAGAAATTCACTTTAGGTCTAGGTTTTGAGTTAATTCATAATTATAAGTACTCACCCTCAGAGAATATAATCTCATATTTCTAATAAAATTCTGACTTAAACAAAAAATTTCAATCTTAAATTATAAAGCCTAACTTTGGATAGATTAGGATTATCTTAAATTATTGTCCTCAATTTATTTGGTCTACCTTACTGAGATTCCTATTAAGAAACATACCGAAAGTTTACTATAGGTTGTGAGTATCAAGTTTCCCATGTAGCTCCTAAGTCCTTAGTATTCACAAAGATCACTTCTCTTAGTCATTTTAAGATTGGTTCCTCATATGTTATTTCATCTTCTACCATAACTAAAATATAAAGAAGGAAAATGAAATGCCATATGTGGAGATAAATAGAATAAAGGAGGAATTTCTTTGATGATCTAGTTATGTTAGCCACTAGCAAGAGGGGTGAATATGGTGTCCCTCTAACCTCTCCACATCTTAGTGGTTGATTGTTTCTTCTCGTCTCAGCTACTTATGTGAAGGAAGATGTGAGGTTTATTGCCCATTTAACTCTAAATTTTTATCAACCCATAATTGATTCTATTTAGGTTAAGGAAAGAAATTTTAGTAGTATATTAAAGAGTGTAGTTTAAAGATGTTTAGATACTCATATATATATATATATATATATATATATATATTAAAGTAGAATTTTTGATGAATATTAAGGAATTGATTGGTGAAAATTGGAGGATAATATCATAAAGAAGAATATTATTGGAACTCAGGTAGCAAGTTAACCTTAGATTAAGGAAGGAAAAAATCACTTGTGCAAGTTACTATCTCTATACTCACTAACGAATATCATAAGGAATCTCAAAAATCTCCCAGAAGATAGATAATATTCTTTTGATTGGTGAACAACATCAAGAGCATCTAAAGATGCTAAGGATTTAAGACACTTTCCTTATCATACCAATCATTATTTGTCACCTACTTCATTTACACCATCTAAGGAGCATAAGAAACATCATTATTCTCATACTGACTATTCACTATGGCTCGATAGGCACTGCTTTAGTGGTCCTTCATCTTTGTATCTTGATATAAAGGGGTTGGGTTCATCAACTCAACCTTCATTAACATCTGAAGAGAAAATGACTTGGTGATCCAAGGTAGAATGCATTCCTATTACAGTAACTTCATCTAAGAAATCTATAGATGAAAAAACTCAGAAAAGGAAAAGAGCTTAAATTTAAATATCTGTATGTAGTAGTTTATAGGTGATAAACTTTCTATATGCATTATGTATATGAAAATTCCATAGAAAATATGTTAATTGAACTAAAAGATATCATTGAAAATATAGAAGATGAAGAAGCTTTAGATTTTGATCCTGATCAAAATGATCTCTTGGAGGATATGATATCAGATGCTCTTTCTCTCAAGGAAGTCATCACAAAAGGAATATTTTTTAACAATGATGTAGAGTGTAGTAGTTGGGAAGGAGCTCGTACGAAATAAAACTTAGTGGCTATTATAATAATTGAGTCAAAAGGATGATCAAGTTCTAAGGTTAAAAAACAATTTAAAAGAGATGATAGCTACCATGGCTATTTTACATCCAAAAGGATACACATTAACAAGAGCACATGTTGATTCTCATTAATTTGAGTCTTGTTAAGTAGTTATTAAGAATTATGATGTTTTATTTAATGAAAAATAGGAACAAGAATCAAAAGTGAAGTCCATACAATCTAAAAATATTAAGTTTCTTCTAGAGAAAAAAGTGAAGGAAGTAGTAGCTCAATCCCAATATACATATTAATAGGGGTTTTACTTTTTATGAAGATAAGCTTGCTTTCTACTATGAATGTATTTGTTATATGCTCCTAACTACACAAGTGTGAGTGTTAATCAAGTAATAAAGTGTATGAGATGAGTATCAATACCATGAGAAATTAAGTGTGTTATAAACAATATTATTTACTCGTGCTAGATAATTTATCTTGCACAATGAATTAAAAGCTGAGGTTATATCACTATTAAAAAAAGTCATAAATAGTAGTGTTAACTAGAGTTAAAGATGAGCTTTTCTCATGGGATATTGCTTTTCTCATGGGATATATCTTTTCTCATGGGAAGTTCATGAATTGTAATCTAGAATTTCTAGAGAGAGAGAGACTAAAAAATTTCTAGAGTGATAAAGTTAAGAATTTTTAAATTTTATGTACTCCACTATTTTGGCTGGGTACTCGGGCATGACTGTTACATTGGCGGACACCATTGCTGGTCACTGGAATTCTACGGGAGAATCATTGAACTACTCAAGGCTTCATGATGGTCTTAAATCTATCCAGTCTGGTACATCTCTGTTTTGTTCAAATGGTCTAAAAGTGATTAGGGAGCCATCATCTCCTTGTCTGAATGTCATTTTAGTTATAGCTAGAAAAGGAAAAAGTACTGTAGTGGATAGTGATGTGGTTTTCAAAACTCCTCATTCATAAGTTAAATCTTTAGAAGAGAGACCAAATGACATGGAAGCCTCATCATCCTCTGGCATGAATATTCTGGTGAATAGATTTGGTGGTCTGAATACTAGAACTGATTATTCTATGAAGAAAGCTTTGCCATTGAAGACTGGTTTAGCACCAGTTGTTTGTCAAATTGATTCTGAAGATAATGTAATTCTGGTTCCAGTTGATAAAGATATGGGTGAAGTTAATAGAAGAAATGGAATGGGAGATACTTCTGTTAAGACTTCAATGAACTCCTGGGTGAAGAAATAGAATATCAAATTTAATTTTTCTGGGGATAATTTGTTCGTTACAACAGATGGAAAAGGAGTGAAACTTTATGAACCAAGTGTGCTTTCTAATTAAGAAAAACTTTATAAACTTTATGAAACTTTAAGGAATTTGCTTCTTTTGAAATGGTTGATCACTGACCCCAAGTGGTTATTGGGCAGCTAATCACTAATCCTTTGGGTAAGTGGAACATTGCAATGGTGTATGGTGGGAAAGATGATCATACCCATAGATCTCTTTGGAGAAAACTTGAAAATTATTTAAGTGGAGATGATACTTGTATCATAGGAGGGGATTTCAATTGTATCCTTTCTAAGGAGGATAAAAGGGGTGGTAAGAGATTCTATCTCTCTAAGGGCTCCAAAGATATGAAGAACTTCATGATGAATAATGATTTTCATGATATAGGATTCATGGGTCCTAGCTACACATGGTGTAATAACAAGGAAGGGAATTCT